ACTTTGCCGCGACAGGCGTACCTTACATACGCGTTCTTGGGTTATTTGAGTAGTACCATCAACCCTTTCGTATATGGCGCCACGAATAAACAATTCAGACGAGAGTACAAGGCTATTTCGAGAACGATTGTTTGTTTCCGAAGCCGGAACAACAACAACAACAACAACAACAACAGTTAAGAGATATCGCGGCATTCGTGGGTAATTCGTTTCAGCTTTAGGCGATGTTTTCCTCGGCGTCGCCGTTGTGGTTACTTATTTTCCTAACTGAAATGCGAGGAGCTAGATAACATGTCAAATTAAACTTCCCAGCTGAGTGAAAGTTTGAGTGAAACCAATTGTGGAAACTTAACCACCTAACCAATGACTTTTAATAAGTGACCAATAGAAGCCTAAAAACAAGACAAAGCAGGTGCTACCGACAAATAATTTTACAATAACTGCAGAAATTCTCGAGCGCTCATTAGCTAAATTAATTTTCACTGTCAAAAAGAGGACAGCCTCATGAATTTATAATTTACACGATGCGACGCGCTTTTTTTTGTTGCAAAGATTAAATTGACGTCAGTTTTGCTTGGGTCTGTCCTGTTATTGACAATGAATTTTTTCATAACATTGTCAAAGCCACTTCTTCTATCGCCTCGTGGATTTACAGCTACTTTAACAATGTTATGACAAAATTCATGATCAATAACAGGACAGACGCATAAAAAAGTGACGTCATATCTGTCATGTACGTAATCGCTTAAAAACGACAGCAGGTAACAGCTGCTCTTTTAGTTCAGTGACAACAACTTACTGTGTCACAACAACTAAATAGCTTCTAACGTGTATTGCCCTAAAAGCATTAACGCGAATATCTTCGCTGACCGTCAACGTTAAAAGTCATGAAGGAATCACTTTCTCTCGAGCTTGCCACAAGAACTAAAGCCCTAGAGTGGACCGAAACAGTTTTGTTTGCTGTTTTTAATATTGTGGCCTTCTTTGGCAATCTTTTAACTTGTTACGCTGTGTGCAGAAACCAGAGACTTCGTACGCTTCCCAACATGTTTGTAATAGCACACGGTGTAAGCGATATTCTGGTGTCCACCTTCTGTATGCCTTTTTCAGTTGTAACTTTGTTTCACGGCCGCTGGATGTTTGGTGAGAATTTTTGTCGTTTCCACGGTTTTGGAGCATTGACATTTGCCACAAGAACTAAACAGTTTTGGAGCATTCGTAATGAGGGTAAGACGTATTTATAGAAGCTGCCTGCTCTTAGCCATTTTAGTGCTTTTAAGATGCTCGGTTACGGAATACAAGTACTTGGCAGATGGTCTAAACCAAAAAGGTCATGTGTGGGAAAGTTTCAAGACTCAAGACCATTTATCCACTCAGGAAATAC